TGGGAACTTCTGCAGCCAGGAACAGTGCCCAGTACCTTGGCCTCCCTCAGGCCCAGACACTAGTACCCTTATCTTGGCCTCCTACCTAAGAAAAGCCAAGGTAAAATAACTGTCCTGCAGACAGGCCATGTCCTTTACAATCACATGCCCACTCCTTCCTCAGGTACCATCACCAAGGCTGACCTGAACTCTGCCACGTGACGGCTATGGGCCTGAAGTTTCATTGTCCTGTGCCTTAGTTTCCCCACAGGCTAAGAACCACACCTGGTTCACATATATGATGAGGCTAGACCACAGCACTATGGGCAGACCTGGAATGGAGGACAGTGAAAGAGTGGGCATCCCCACCCCCCAGTACCAAGAAAAGGAAGAGGTAAGCCAGATGTGGTGGCGCATGCATTTAATCCCAGAGCTCAGGGGGCAGAGAGAGCTCTGTGAGTTCAAGGCCAGCCTGGGCTGTACAACGAGCTCCAGATAGCTAAGGCTGCATAAGTGAGATCTCATTAAAAAAAAAGGGGGGGGGGATACAAAAAGAGAGACTAAAGGCACTGAGCATGTGCACCTTGTTAGACAGCTTTAGTACCATTATGATGACTAGCTACACTCTCATAGCTGGGTAAGGATCCCCAGCTGTTAAAACACTCTCATCTGTCACTATCAATAGCACCAAGAGGTGTTAAGACCTGAACTTGACCAACCAGCTTTCCCACCCAGTCAGACCTGCCTGTCAAAGGGCAGGACTCCCGACAGAAGCCAACAATGTTATCAGAACTACAGTCTCTTCTGGACCAGCTCTATGCAGCAGCCAGTGTGGCTAGGCCACCTGTCTACTCAGGAGTCAGTGAAGCAAGGCTCTTCTGGTCCCTGCCGGCCTCTAAGCTGCCCATAGCGTAAGTGAGCTAACTAGTACACATCAAGGCCACCAGCCCAGCTCCTCCCAGGGTCCTTCAGCCTCCCCACCTCCTCTGCTGTGACTCAGCCTCCTCCACACAGAAGCCCCTGCCCTGGGTCAGTTCCCACCTGTGCAGTGCAGTGTTAGTGCTGCCATCACCTGGCTCAATATGCTGAACAGGGGAACAGACTAAGTTCTGCAGGGAAGATGTGTAAACCAAGCCACTCCCTGCCCAGGGCACAAGCCACACCTGTGGTCCGAGGCATACTAAACCAGGAAAGATGTGAAATGCTCACAGCAGCCAGGATCCAACAGCACACACCTGCACCAGCATAGGAAATAAATCTAAAAAGAAGTCTGCCAGGCATAGAGGCTCATGACGTTAATCCTGGCACTTGAAAGGCATGGGCAGGCAGATCTCTTTTGAGTTCCAAGACAGGGCTGCCTAAAAACAGTATCTCAAAAAACAAAAACAAAAAAACAAGACCTAAATGCATCACATACCCCCTCCTGCATGCTCAACCTTGATGGCATTATTTCCAGCCTCAGCATAAAGTACTAATACCCATGGCCCTTTCACAATCAAGCAGGTTTTGTTCCAAGGAACAAGCACAAACTGATGGGTTAGCCAATCCTCCCAGTCAAACCACCATTTCATCAAAGGGCTGTGCCACAATTAGGCCTCAGGCCTGTCTCTGCTTGCACACAAACACAGGTCTACTTTCCCCTTACCTGTCACCTGCCTCTCAACAGCTGCCTCAGAGCACCAGGCATGATGACACATGCCTGCAATGCTACACTCACAGTCGAGGCTGGAAGAGCACACACGCAAGTCGGCCTCGGTTACCTACAAAGACCCTTTCAAGAATCCGAGAGAGAGCAGAACATGGTAACACACGCCTTTAATCCCAGCACTCCAGAGGCAGAGGCAGGCGGAGCTCTGAATTTGAAGCTAGGTGCTAGAGTCGCATGGGTTATAGACACTTGCTGAGTTTAGATCACAGAACCTACCTAACACCACACCCCTGTACCCCAAGCTGTGATAGACAGGGAAGCAGGCTGGGTATTGCTGGCCTCCAGCCTGGCTCCAGGTGCAGGAAACAACCCTGTTTCAAAACTCAGGCCGTTAATAATAAAGTATACCGACACCTTCCCTCTGGCCTCTCTATAGGTCCGTGCACATACAGGTGTGACATACACCAAACACACAGATAATAACAATGATGACAGTAATTGTTTTCATTTTTCAAGGGCCAGGGGTGCAGCTTGGTGGTAGAGCACCTATTCAGCACATGTAAGAAAGGTCTGGGGTTTCAATGCCTAATGTTAAAAACAGTAATTTTCCTAAATGCCTCTTGACCAAAACTCTACTTTCAGAATTTTCATGGTAAATCCCTGGAGGGAGCCAGCCAAGCAGGAACTTGCCTGAGGCAAAGTAATAAATTGATCCAGAATAATCTGCAAGGTGGGTACCTTTATAGCCTGTTTGGTGGTTCACACCATTCCATGAGCTTGAGGTCAGCTTGGGGCTACAGAAGATCTCTCTACATGAACAGAACAGACTCGTGAGATTCATAGGCAGATTTACAAGGCGCAGCAGTTGGCTCTAGCTACGGCAGAGATCATCTCCAATGTCATCTCCAGTGGAAAAAAGACTAATAAAAACTACCTGAGCCTAGGACAAGGAGCTCTCATACCAATCCTGCTGATTTACACCAAGCCCACAGCCAATTGTTCTAGAAGTTTCACCTCAATAAGGAGGTGGAAGGGGTTCTCTTTCTTGCTAGATATTCCTCCAGTTGTAATCCTGTCCACCGTGCCTTGGGTCTTCCCTGTGACATTAACTGACCATGTGACAATGAGGAGGACCTGACCTTTTCTCAGCATGTCTTTTTTTTTTAGGATTGTTAACCTGCATGTATATTAAGTTCACCTAGTTTATACAATGCCCAGAGGGCAGAAGAGGGTGTTGGAGCCCTGAGAGCTGGTGTTACTGATGGGTTAGACACAAGTGGGTGTTGGAAGTTGAACCTGGACCTTCAGGTAGAGCTCTTGACCTCTGACCCATCTTTTTTTTTTTTTTTTTGGTTTTTTGAGACAGGGTTTCTCTGTGGCTTTGGAGGCTGTCCTGGAACTCGCTTTGTAGACCAGGATGGCCTCGAACTCACAGAGATCCGCCTGCCTCTGCCTCCCGAGTGCTGGGGTTAAAGGCGTGCGCCACCAACACCCGGCCCTCTGACCCATCTTTCCAGCCCCTGAGCACCAGGTCTGTCTATCACATCACCTGCTCTTTGGCTGGAGGTGCAGCTTAGTGGCAGAGTCTGATTAGCATGTGCAAGATCCCGGTTTCCAGTTCAGCACCACAAAGTCAAGAACAGCAAGTGTGCATCATAATATCCAAAGTGTCTGTCTATGGGCAAAAAAATCTTTCCTTTTTTTTTTTGGTTTTTCGAGAGAGGGTTTCTCTGTGGCTTTGGAGACTGTCCTGGAACTAGTGCTTGTAGACCAGGCTGTTCTCGAACTCACAGAGATCCCCCTGCCTCTGTCTCTCGAGTGCTGGGATTAAAGGCGTGTGCAACTAACACCCGACTTAAAGTCTTTCCTTTTTTAATTCAGGGTATACTAGAAAATTGATCCTCTCCTGCCACCTTGTGGGGTCTAGGGAGCAAACTCAAGTAGGCCTTCAAGAAAGTGCCTCTATGGGATGACAGTCTTTTGAGAGAGGACTGAAAGCTTCCTGGGGAAAAGGATGAACTCAGCCCTTCAGAGGTATCTATTATTTGTTTTCTCAAATTACATTTTTAGCCAGGCATGGTGGCACATGCCTTTAAACCCAGCTCTTGGGAGACAGACAGATCTCTGAGTTCCACTGGCCTGGTCTACAGAGCAAGTTCCAGGACTGCTAAGCCTACACAGAGAAACCCTGTCAAAAATTTTTTTGTTTATTGTACCGCATGCACACTGGTGCTATAACCATGTTGTGTGGAAGCAGAGGACACCTTATGGGAGTTGGTTCACTGAGCCATCTTACCAGGGTGGCCTGGAACTCACTGTGTAGCCGAGGATGACTCTGAACTTCTGATACCACTGTCTTCCCCTTCCAGTCCTGGGAGCACAGCATGAACCAGCCTGATTTCTACAGTGCTAGGCATGGAGCCCAGGGCCCCCTGCATGCTAGTCAAACACTCCACAAACCTGTTCTTCAATGTGGATAACTGACCCTTTTCCCAGGATCTGGGCTGTGAAAGGATCTCTTCCGTTTTTATTGGTCTGCACCAATAGTTCTGCAAACCAGGCTACAAGACAGTAGGTGCTCCTATGCCAAAACAATGGCCTCGGTGGGTACTAGACAAATGTCAACAGTGAAAAACAAAACACTAGGAAATAACTTTTTCCCCCTCCAAGGTCACCTTGGCTTTCTTTTTGTTTTTTATTTTTTCTGTCTATTTCGTTTGGTTTGGATTTCTGAGATAGGATTTCCAGCCTGGGTTAGCATCAAAATCACTATGTACTGAAGATAACCTTGAGTTCCTGATCCTTCTGCCTCCATCTCCCAAGAGCTAGAACTAAAAGCATGTGCCAGCTTGCCTGGTTTTATTCAGTGCCAGGGATTCAACCCAGGGCTGCAAGCAAATTAGGAAAGTACCAGATGAAGCGAGTCCCTATTCCCCAGTTTGGTGCTTATCTGCCTTCGTTGTGCAATGCTGAGATGGAACGCAGAGCCCCATGCATGCACACTAAACAAGAGCTCTGTTGCAAGGGGGGGACTACCAACAGCCCATTAAGAGCACTCTGAGAAGTAAGGCAGAGAGAAGACCGGAGCACAGTAGAGCATGTTTTTCCAGCAAACCATGAGCCTTACGCTGTGCTCAAGTTCCTAGAACCAAACCACCCGGTCAGTATCAAGAGCTTTCCTGGCCTGATTTTCAGCTAGCAAACTAAAAAGGCTGACTGCAAAGTCCACCTTCTACCTGTGTTTTTCAAACTGAACATGGCTTTCCACCAGTGCAAGAAAGGTGTGAAAGGGAAAAGCAAACCAGGAGAAACCTTCCCTTTGAAAGCACAAAGTTGAAGGGGGAGTAAGGGTTAGATTCCTGCCTCCTGCTTCTTGTCACCTTGTTATGTTAAAAATAGAGAGACGTCAGGCAGTGGTGGTGCACACCTTTAGTCCCAGCAAACAGGAGGCAGACGTAGGCGGATCTCTGTGAGTTCAAAGCCAGCCTGGTCTACAGAGCGAGTTCCAAGACAGACTCCAAAGCTACACAGAGAAACCCTGACTCACAAAAGAAAAAAAATAGAGGACTTCTAAAGATTTTGAAGAACCTGAGGAAATAAGTATTTTTATAATTTTGTATTATTGTACTTACTACATATAAAAATAATCAAAATACAGAAGATGACTAGGAGTAGTAGTATTCAGCTTTTTATAAAGATAAAATTATCTCCCAATGTATTGGAGATTCCTAAAATATTCCAATTTCCAGAGACAAATGGTTGTTGCCAAGGCCGGGGAGATGAGAAATAGGGAGATACTGGATAAATGGGTGAAGAGTTTCAGTTTTACAAGATGGAGTCTAAGAGGGTGGACTAGCAGGAGCCAGGCCCTGAGCTCCATCCCTAGCACAAACAGAGAGCAGCAGAGGCGGGCTGGGGGTAACAAAACAGCCTAACCTCACTCTAGTCTTTAAAAAAAATAAGGTTAAAGAGTGGTGGAATTTGAACAATATGAATAGGCTTAGTACAATGAAAATGGCTACCGTGGAAAATTTGGCAAGTTTCATCACAAATTTAAAATCTGGGGAGAAATATAAGCAACCTTTCGATTTGCCAGCAGGTACTAGCTGGGATCTTTCGACAACGCACGGGTGACATCTCTGACTTTCACCTACATCATCAGTAAGCATTTCGTCTCGGCAGGATCATGAGTTCGAGGACAAGATAACAGACTCTCAGTGAAACGGTAGTCAGCCCTTACTAACGCATTCTTATTATGAATGTGAGCAATCGGTTACTGTTTTATGATCGTTACTTAAAGGTCAGCAATAACAAGACTAGTATCAGTTTGGTTGAAAAGAACATCACAAGACTTCGTTTTAAAAGGAAAAGGGATCCAAGACTGAGTCAGGAGATGTAAGCTTCCAGAACGATCTTGCGCATTCAGATTTCTTCTCTAGCGGTCACCGGCTGCCATGACCGTGGAACCAACTCCCTCGCCGCCCAGGCATTTACAGCTAGGAGTGGTGCGAAGGTCGGAAGGGGCAGGCCAGCTGCAGAGCCCCTTCCTGAGCCCGAGGCGCTGACACTCTGCAGGATTGTGCAAGAGAATCAGTCGTTCGCACCAAGAACAAGTGTTCCGCACTGCACGCCTCCTGAATACCTACCGCCGAGGATGCTGCAAAAAAAAAAACCTGCAAGCTTCTCCAAAACCCTGCAAGACCCTAAGAAAAGGTGCCCCCCACCCCCGCAAAAAAAAAAAAAAAAGGTCTGGGTAGCATAAATACCTCCCTGCACATGCGCAATGGGATTTACCAGTAGGCCCCGGACACACTGCGCCTGCGCCATCGGCGGGGAGCCGGGCCATTAGAGGGTCCCGAGACCCTGGAAGAGGACGGTGCGGCCCGCGGCAGCCACGGCCCGAGCCCCGCACCGCTCACCTCGTAGTGCTTCATGGCTCCTCCAAAGGATGGCGCCGCTCCGCTGCAGCTCGCTCGCCGCCCGGCCGCGCACGAAACACTGCCCGGGCACACACGCCGGTAGCCACGCACCGCACCAAGCTCCGGCTCCGCTCCTTCCTAGCAGCGGGTCCTGCCGGCCAATCAGCGTGGGGTGCACCCACCGCTCGCGCCACACGACCAGCCAATCAGCGTCCGAGATTCACCGGGGGAGGTGGGGCTATCCCCCCTCCCGTCTTGGCAGGCAAGATTAAATCAGGGCCACCTACCAATCAGAAGGGAGCCTCCGCGCAGCGCGCCCTCCGGCCCCGCCCATTGCAGTGCGGCTGGGGCAATCAGCGAAGCCAGGAGTGGGCCAATGCACCAAACCTGCGCCAAGCGCCGAGTGACCCCGCGGGCTGAGACTACGGGGCTGGCAGCACTTGGGGGTGAATTCTGGGGTGCAGAGAGGCTGAGCCGCCTAAGAGGTGAGACCTCAGGTATCGCCTCCAGGACCCCTGAAAGCATTCCTTGTCCCGTGAGTGAAGGAAGGAAAATAAAAAAGCCTGCATCACGTTCTGCAGTGTCTTCACTGCCCCTTCCTAGGAGAACTGGTCCTATAAGCTACGCCCACGTTTGTCTCTGCCTGTGGGATAATACACTGCATGGTTACTACTGGCCACATGTAGCCACTGAGCCCTTGAGACATCGACAAAAATGACAGGTGCTGCCAGTCTAAAATTCACGACCTCACAGAGCACTCACTGCAGAGGAGGACGGCATGGCTTTGTCTGATGAAGGCTCTTGCTGCCACGCCTAAGGAACTAAATTCAATCCCAGGGACCCACGGAATGTAAGGTCGGAACAGATTCAGGCAGGCTATCGTCTGACCTCCAGCAGGCACCGTGGCACATGTACAGACACAAACATACCCACTCAATAAATAAATGTAATTTTCATTTTGTTTTGTTTTTCGTGACATAGTTTCTCTGTGTAACAGCCCTGGCTGTCCTGGAACTTGATCAGGCTGGCCTCAAGCTCACACAGATCCGCCTGCCTCTGCCTCCTCGAGTGCTGGGACTAAAGGTGTGCTCCACCACGCCCAACTAGAAATAGTTTTTTTTTAAAGCGTAGTGCAGCCAAATGCGATGACACACTGCATTAATCCCAGGACGCAGGAGGTAGTGGTAGGCAAATCTCTCCAGGTTCCAACCAGCTTGTTGTACACAACCACATTTAGGACTATGTCCTATCTCAAAAAAACATTTAAAAAAAAACGGGGGGGGATCCAGAAGCCTGCTCAGCACCGTGAGAGCAGAGTGGGTGGAGATGAACAGAGCCATTTGCCTTGAGGCACCAAGTGTCAGATGCCACTATGCTACAAATACTTGGCTGGGTAAGGGAGAGGGGAGGGAGAGGGAGGAGGGAGAGAGAGAGCCAGGCAGAGGCAGAACGGTTCCTGTCCAGTGGAGAGAGGCGGATCTGAAGAGGCAGGCGAAGACAGTGAGGAACAGGCTGTTGAGTGAAGCCTGCTCGCCACTCGGGGAGATGACGACGGCGCATGATCCTGGGCTACTGCCAAAGGTCTGGGTCCCCGGTCCCTGCTGCAGAATACTTCTGTGTTGATATCCATAGTGCCTGTTACCATGAAGGTCTTGTGGCTGCTGGGATCAGGGCTCCCGCCTGGTGGCCCTGACAAGATCACCCCTGGTGGCCAGGGTGATGCTGATCTCAGTGGTTTCCACTGCCACCCGAGGCCATGATATAGGCTGGGCCCAAGCTACTACGGGGGAGGGGGGGGCATGTCTGAGTCCATGGTTCTGCTGAAGCTGGGGTCTGTCTGTGTTGATGTCCTTGACCTGTTACCAGTGGCACGTGTGAACTGTACTTGCATTGAGCCACAAGGGCTGTGCTGAGATGACCCCGCCCCTCACTGGCATGGGGACAGCCGGCCCCACCTCCCCTGAGTGCTGACCCCACCCCTTGAGGACCCTGGGATAATGGACTCCAGTGACCCTGGCAGGGGAAAGCTGGCCTTACCCCCAATAGGAGTGCTGGACCCTTCCCACCTACCATCCCATCCCCACCCCACACTTGGGAAAGCTGGCTCTGTCACTCACCTGAGGGGGGGGGTCAGAACAACCCAGTCACCACCCAGGTACATGTCCAGGGCTTTGAGTTGGCACTGACCAACATCTAACCCATCTATGACCTGCTGGAGCAAAGGACTGGTCCCATGGAACCATAGCCATAGGAGCTCCATGACTCTGCAACTACAGGGTATCTGACAGGAGACTCGGTGAGGGTCCAGCATGGACAGTGAACCAGAAGCCAGAGGCCTTGAACCTGACCAACAACTCATTACACAATGAACACTTGCAAGTAAAGCTGTGAACAGGGTCTACTGCGTGATCACAGCAGCTCCCAGTGCCACCAGGACGAACGAAGAGGCGGTGGAGAGGCAGGAAAGATGGAGGAGCAGCGTTTTTTCTTATTAGCTTTATTTAGTTTTCAGTTTTGTTTTAAGTTAACACTCTTATTTGCTTTTTATTTTTTATTTTTATTATTTTTTAGTTTTTCTTTGGCAGGGGCCAACACAGGGGTGAGGGGCAGATTCAGAGGGACTGGGAAATGAGTGGGATTTGGATGCACCAGGTGGAATTCCGGAGATCCAATTAAAAATGATATTAATAAAAATCCAAACAAAAATCAATAAATACAGAGTATGTATAATTCAGGGCTGAGGATGTCACTTGGCACAATGCTGCCTAGCTTGTATCCTCAGGACCATACCGCAAGATGTGTGTTAAGAAGAAAATAGCAGCCAGGCTGCTATTGGTGGTGCACACCTTTAATCCCAGCACTCGGGAGGCAGAGGCAGGCAGATCTCTGGGAGTTCGAGGCCAGCCTGGCCTACAGAGTGAGTTCCAGGACAGCCTCCAAAACAATACAGAGAAACCCTGTCTCGAAAAAACAAAAAAATAAAATAATAAGAAAATAGCTGGGCAGTGGTGCCCGAAAGGCACAGGGTGTTAAAAGGAAGATGAAATATTCCATCCTTCAGAGAAGTTCCTGAAACTCGGGAAATAGGTAACACAGGCGCTTCAGAAAGTTCCTAAAACTTACCGGATTCACTAGCCCTCTCCCTCCCCAAGCATATATGAGCAATAATGAGAAATATTCCTGACCTTTAGTGCTACCCACTGTCAGTTCTAGAAATCTGATACAGTAGTTTCCCCCAACTAGCTCTGAGTTTTTAATTATTTTGTGTGTATGGGTATTTTGCCTGCTCACATGTCTGTGCATCTCTTGTGTGCAGTGCCCTCCAAGGCCAGAAGAGGGCATCAGATACCCTGACACTGTAATTACAGATGGGTCTGAGCCACCTCGTGGATGCTGGGAATCAAATGGAATACTAGGAAAAGCAGTCATTGCTTTTAACCCCTAAACCTTCTCCCCAGGCCCCAGTTAGCTATATTTAAATGTGGCGAATTCATCTTCCTCCTAAGCATTTCCATTAAATCCTTCTGAATTTAGGAATTTGATCTACCTTTACCAATGATATTGCCTTCTCATTGTCAAGTGCATTAATTTCGCAATTGTTTTCCACTAGAGTATTTACTATGTCTGCATATCCATAACAGGATGCAAAATGTAGAGCAGTTCTGTGGAATTGAGAGGTGTCTTTTAATGAAAGCACAGTATGTCATCATGTGCAAACACACACATAGTTGCAAATGTCAAATTACATGCAATTCCTCTGCCTTGGTTAACTCATACTATCACTCACTCAGAGAGAATAAATATGGGAACTCAGAGGACAAAGCTTTGTAAATAGCGACTGTCTTAGTTAGAGTTAGTATTCCTGTGATGAAACATCATGGCCAAAGCAACTTGGGGAGGAAAGGGTTTATTTCAGCTCACACTTCCAGGTAACAGTGCATCATTGAGGGAAGTCAGGGTAGGAACTCAAGTAGGGCAGGCACCTTGAGGCAGGAGCTTATGCAGAGTCCATGGAGAAGCTCTGCTTACTGAGTTGCTCAGTCTGCTTTATTATAGAACACAGGACCACCAGACCAAGAATGGCACTGTCGACAATGGGCTGGATCCTCTCCTATCAATTACTAGTTAAGAAAATGTCCTACAGGCTTGTCTACGGCTCAATCTTTTTAAAAAAAAGATTTTATTTATTAATTATATATACAGTGTTCTATCTGTATGCTTGCCTGCAGGTCAGAGGAAGGCACCAGATCTTATTTTAGATGATTGTGAACCTCCTTGTAGTTGCTAGGAATTGAACTCATGATCATGACCTCTAGAAGAGCAGCCATTGCTCTTAACACCTGGACCGTCTCTCCAGCCCCTACTACCACTCAATCTTATGGAAGCATTGTCATAATTGAGATTCCCTCCTTTCAGAAGACTTTAGTTTTGTGTCTGCTGAAAAAGTTCACTGAATAAAATGATAATGAATGCATGGGAATCAACAAGTTTTCATAGGGGAATTGAGGAGACTATGATCTACCTCAATTTATAATAAAATTTGGCAAGCAAGAAGAGTTTATTGCTTTGTAAATTATGAAGCCTGTCAGTGAGGTCCTCCTCTTTTAGCAGAAGTATCTTGCAAATGACCCAAGCCTATTGTGAAAATGGTGGGCAGTGGATGTTCATTCACACCTCCATGAGGGAAGAATGCAGGAGCATATGAGAAATATGAACAGCCCATGAAGTATAAATGATAACCATTACTATACCAGTGAGAAATAGCAAAAGGCAAGAGAGGAGGAGGACCCAGCAATTCCCATTTCAAGGTTTCATTAAATGTAACTCAGTAAAGAACATGTGAATGGATTTATGCTGATATAAATAAAGTAAGACAACTGCTTTCTGATTCGATTTAAATCCCACTATTTGAATTTGACTTGCATATGTTTTAAGTATGATGCAGATATGTTATAAAGAATTTTCCTCTCATGAAGTTTTCTACAATGTATGTAACTTTATGCTTTTCAATGTATACATTAAAATAAAAATACTGTTCCGTGTATTATTTAACACTTTCTAGTAGGCATATAGGGGATTTCAAAGGGTTGGGAAAACAGCTAGAGCTTTGGTCTTGCATGACTGCTCATGAAGACAGCCTAGCACTGGGACCC